CAACAGACCTATAAAGTAGGCCGCTGACAGCGTCCCTATCTTATTCCGGAAAGGCTGGCCTCACGCCCTCCCACTAATTTGGGACACGGACAAGGTTTCAGCCACGGCCTCTTGCCAGCGCTTCTTCCCGGCCACTGCCCCGGGCGAGGGAGTCAGGAATCCGCCACCCTCCCGCCCTGAACAAAAACAATCGGCTCCTATGATAGAAGCCAGAGACGGCAGAAGCTCGTTGACGGCAGAAACGGAGGCCTGGTTGAATGTTAATGATATCCTGCTTCCCCAGCCAAATGCCTCCAAGACAGCCACCTCCTTCCCTCGAGGAATAGAGAGTTTTTCCCCTGGCTTTTTAAGAAGAGAAACTGACATACGGCTATAGTCTTATGAGATTAAAGTAAAGGTAAAGGTTTCCCTTGCTCGAAAGCCAGTCGAATCTGACTCTAGGGTCGCGATGCTCATCTCCGTTTCAAAGCCGAAGAGCCAGCGCTGTCCAAAGATATTTCCGTGCTCATGTGGCCGCCATGACTAAACACGGAGGCGCACGGAACGCTGTTCCCACCGAAGTGGTCCCTATTTATCTACTTGCAATGTCTTGCTTTCGAACTGCTAGGTTGGCAGGAGCTGGAACTAGAGACGGGAGCTCACTCCGTCATGCGGCACCCGGGTCTCGAACTCCTGAACTCCTGACCTTCCACAGCCTGCAGTTCAGCATCTTAACCACTTGATCCAAATTTCCCACTTTCCTTTTCTTTTTTTTTTAAAAAAAGTCTCTGGCCTTTTTCCATTGCAGTGGTGTGCCTTTCCCCTTACATCTCAGCAACAAAAAGGGCGAGAGCGGAGTTTGTTTTTTAAATGAACGCTGGGGGGGGGTTCAGAGGAACTAGAAGATAGGATTGTTACGATGTTATAAGGCTGTAGGGATGTGTGATGGTTGATCTTTTAAGAACAAAATCTTCTCTCCTCCCTCCCCCAACCCTTTGGCAGAACGGCAGCTGAGGAGGGTTGAAGGCCAAGGGAGGTTGGGGGACTGGACGCGCCTTAGTGACACAGACACAGCCAAAGAGACCTTAAAATAAGCTCAAGGCCCGTAGTGCGAGAGGAATCCATAATCGCAACCAAACCCTGACTGGCTACCAAGTCTGCCTTGTCTCCTCTGACGGAGACGGCCGCAGAAAATGCAGCCTCTCCCGCCTTCCGTGCCCTTTGGCCCCCACTGTTGACAGTGCTCTGTGCCAGCCGGTGTGCGTGTCTGCCAACGGAGCGCGCCCTTCACGCAGCTGACGGAGTGGCTGCCAGTCCAGATGCTGTTTGGATCGCTGCAAGAATCCGGTTCGGTTTTGGGCGCCAGAACTTCCCCAAGCCCCCTCTTGGGGATCCGGTTGCTCGGTGCCGAAATCCAGAACGCCATTTCACCCTGTGGTCCGAACCGCTTCCCCAACCGGGTCTAGAAACTTGGGATTTTCTTTTTAAATAAGGACAGGGCAGGAGATCTGGGTCTGCTGGTTTCAGCCCTGGGTCTTAGGGACTGCCCTAGGCCTTGCCCCAGTGAACGCCAGCACGGGGGCAGGGCTAGGGTTGCCAGGCTCCAGGGGGCGCCTGGAGAACCCCCAGAACTGCAACTGATCTCCAGTCTGCAAGGATCAGTCCTCGCCCCCAGTGTTCCCTCTAAGCTGAGTTGGTGTGAGCTAGCTCCCAGTCTTTTAGCCTCCGGCTCACACATTTTTTGTCTTGGGAAGGAGGTGGCTCCAGAGCAGCAAACTAGTTTATGCAGCAGCCGAATGGCTCGCTCACAACTTCAAGGCCAGGAGCCCACATGGCAGAATTTTTGCTCACAGGACTCCACCGCTTAGAGGGAGCAGGGCTTGCAAGCAGTGTTCCCTCTAGGCTGAGTTAGTGTGAGCTAGCTCACGGTTTTTTAGCCTCAGGCTCACACACATTCTTGTCTTGGCTCCGGAAGGATGGGGCTCCGGAGCAGACTCGCTTATGCAGTGTAGCCCAATCGCTCGCTCACAACTTCAACGCCAGTGGCTCACAAAAGTAGAATTTTTGCTCGCAGGACCCCGCAGCTTAGAGGGAGCAGGGCTTGCAAGCAGTGTTCCCTCTAGGCTGAGTTAGTGTGAGCTAGCTCACGGTTTTTTAGCCTCAGGCTCACACACATTCTTGTCTTGGCTCCGGAAGGATGGGGCTCCGGAGCAGACTCGCTTATGCAGTGTAGCCCAATCGCTCGCTCACAACTTCAACGCCAGTGGCTCACAAAAGTAGAATTTTTGCTCACAGGACTCCACCGCTTAGAGGGAGCAGGGCTTGCAAGCAGTGTTCCCTCTAGGCTGAGTTAGTGTGAGCTAGCTCACGGTTTTTTAGCCTCAGGCTCACACACATTCTTGTCTTGGCTCCGGAAGGATGGGGCTCCGGAGCAGACTCGCTTATGCAGTGTAGCCCAATCGCTCGCTCACAACTTCAACGCCAGTGGCTCACAAAAGTAGAATTTTTGCTCGCAGGACCCCGCAGCTTAGAGGGAGCATTGGTCGTCCCCCCCCCCCGGGGGGAGGAAACGGCTCCTTTGTAGGGTGGGGACCCCGCAGCACGCCCCCTCCCCACGCGGAGGCTCCTCTCCAAACCCCGCCCTCCCGCAGGCTCCACCCCCACAAACCTCCAGGAACGTCCAAACCCGGAGCTGGCACGGGTGGGGGGTTGAGAAGGGCCTACACAGCAGGGAGGGCGTGCTGCTCTCGAGGAAGAGGACCCCCACCCGTGCGCGCCAATAAGGGGACGAGGGGAAGGACCGGGCTCACCTCCCTCCCCGCGCCGCCGTCCCACCGCCTCCGCCGGGCTCTTTCTCTCGCTCTCGCTCGCTCTCTCGCTCAACGGCCGCCGCGTCCCACTCCCGTCCGAATCGGCCCTGCGCCGCGCCTCATTGGCTGCCGCCCGCGCGCCGCCTCCAATCAGCGCCCTCGGAACGTCGGGAACTCGCCGGCCGTTGCAACTTTGTTGCTCTTCTTCTTCGTCTTCTTCAAAGGGCGGCGTGGCCGGAGGAGGGCGCGGGTGGCCAACCTCCAGGCGGGGGCGGGAGGGCGACCAGGGCTACAGGTTGGGCCGCCGACTTCCAAGTGGGGGCTGGAGGGCGACAGGGGGTACAGCTTTATTTTATTTGTTTGATTAATTTAATTTATACCCCGCCCTCCCCGCGAGCGGGCTCAGGGCGGCTTACATATTTGGTCTGGAAATGACCATTCACATAAAAACAGTTTAAAAAATTTTTGCTTACAAGACTCCACAGCTTAGAGGGAGCATTGGATTTTGTAGGGATCTACTAAAAGGAAGGACAGGATTGCCCATTGGAAACAATGGGAGACGCTGGAAGGCCCATTGGAAATCATGGGAACCTGGAATGCCAATTGACTTGCATGGGCTCCAGGCTCCCATGATTTCCAATGGGCCTTCCAGCGTCTCCCATTGTTTCCAATGGGCAATCCTGTCCTTCCTTTTAGTAGATCCCTACAAAATCCAATGCTCCCTCTAAGCTGTGGAGTCTTGTAAGCAAAAATTCTGCTTTGTGAGCTACAGGCATTAAAGTTGTGAACAGGTGATTCGGCTACTGCATAAGTTAGTTTCCTCTGGAGCCATCCTTCGAAGCGAGGACAAAAATGTGTGAGCTGGAGGCTAAAACAACTGTGAGCTAGCTCACACTAACTCAGCTTAGAGAGAACACTGATTTATCAACAATAAAGGACGCTAGTACTTCCAAAAATTGAAATGGTATATTGTTGGGTTTTTTATATGTGTGTTTGTGTGTTTTCCAACAAGCAAATCACATACAAAGCAATAAAGCCATTGAGGGGATGTAGAAACCAATTCAGAACCATAATAAGGAATATAAGGTAATTCAGGAACAAGGACTGATAACAATGTGAAAGAGAAGTTAAAGAGTGCAACACTTTTAACAAGCTCTTATTCATTACACAAAATAATTAAATTCAGTCATAAGCTTAAACAGGGCTTTTTTGTAGATAAAGTCCAGCAGGAACTCATTAGCATAATAGGCCACACCCAACAACAGAAACTCATTAGCATATTAGGCCACACCCCCTGACAGCACAGCTCATTGGCATATTAGGCCACACCCCCATGTTACCAGAAGTGTGCTCATCCAGCCACACCCACCTTTCCCTTCTTATTCTGTTTACCTTGTTTGTTGCAGGCCTTTTTTTGTAGCAGGGACTCCTTTGCATGTTAGGCCACACACCCCTAATGTAGCCAATCCTAATGAGTTTCTGCTGTTGGGTGTGGCCTATTATACTAATGAGCTCCAGCTGGGCATGGCCAACTCCGGAGCCAGCCAGAACTCCGTTCCTGTGTGTTCCTGCCCAAAAATAGCTCTGAGCTTAAACAAAGGCTGTAAGAGCCTAATACACTTTGTGTACTTTAACACATGAACCTGCTGTAGCCCATGAGCTGGGCTTGTGTCTATGTCACATATTGTGTCCTTTGCCCTCTAGTTCTATTGTGCAAAGTGTGTTAGGCTCTGACAGTCTTTGTTTAAGCGTATGATTGTGTTTGGTAATTATCTTGTTTGAATAATAGACCATTTCAGTTTTTAGAAATACTACTAGCATCCTTTATTGTTTGTTTTTGTTTCCAAATTCTCCAACAAACAAACCAGAAACAAAGCAGTAAAGCCACTGAGGGGACGTAGAAACCAGTTCGGAACCATAATGACAGATACAAGGGGATTCAAGATCGATAACAATGCGAAAGAGAAGTTCGAAGCATCGCACCAAAAAGTCCTTATAAGCTGCGGAAGAGAAGGGGAAAGGAGAAGTAAAGGCTGAAGGATTCTGAATTGTGCCTTTGAGACTTTTGTTATGGGATGATTGGGGGTACTGTTTCTAGACAGTTAAATCTAAGCTTTAAAGAAAAAGTGCTAAAACTTTGACTCAGTATAAAGGGATTAATGATGGGTAGACTTGATGTATCTTAGCTAACTGGAGGATCTCCTCTCTTGGGTTTTTAGTCAGTAGTGGGTTCTTTACTTTATCCTGTATATGTAGTTCCCCCTCCCCTTTCTTCTGTTGTAGTTTTTGTAGTGATAAAAAATAATAAAAAATCCCCTCCGGGGGCTCAAAAAAAAAAGTTCGAAGCATCCTCTGTTGTTGACAAGTGTTTGTGTACAATTACAAGATTAATTGGATTCGATATGGTGCTTTAGTTGTTCTAGATAGCCTTACGCACTGTGGTCCTTTGGTGGGGGCTGGAGGTTGGCCAGGGTTACAACCTCTGGTTGCCAGCAATGCTCCCCCTAAGCTGTGGGGCCTCGTGAGCAAAAATTCTACTTCGTGAGCTGCTGGCATTCAAGTTGTGAGCGAGCCATTCGGCTATACTGCATACATATATGCCATTTGGCTATACTGCATAAATTAGTCTCCTCTGCCATCGTCCTTCCTGAGCTAAGGCAAAAATGCGTGAGCCGGAGGTTAAAAAACTGTGAGCTAGCTCACACTAACTCAGCTTAGAGGGAACACTGGTTGCCCGTCTCCTGCTATTATAACTGGTCTCCAGACTACGTAAATCATGAACTGATTAATTAATCAAAACACTTATTCCACTTCTCCTGGAGAAAATGGCCGCTTCGGCAGGTGGGCTTGCAGGCCACCATACCCCACTGAATCCCTCTCCTCAAACCCCGCCCTCCCCGGACTCCACCCCCCAATCTTCAGGTATTTCCCAACCTGGAGCTGGTAACCCTAGGGAGGGCGGAGAGGGGGGCACCCTATGAACTTCTGTTGGCTCAGGCCACCCCGTGGGGATGTAGTATGCAGTGCCAGATTTACGCATAAGCTAAATAAGCTACAGCTTAGGGCCTCGCAATCTGCTGGGGCCTCGAATAAAAACACAATTTTAAAAAATGATTTCAAATATTAAAAAGGCGTATATATTATAAATTTTTCTGAGACCAGCTGATGTAATTTAAAACAGTAGGGGGCCTCTGGGTTTTGTATAGCTTAGGGCCTCAACAAGTCTAAATCCGGCCCTGGTAGTATGAATGGGAATATAAAGATTTTCATATATAGGTTTTTTTTTCTTGATTGTTCATATTCATATTTCTCTGGTTTTTATAGATTTGTTCTTTAAGTAATATTTTATTAGGATGTTAGAAAGGCCTGTTATATAGAAGGCTTTCCTCTTGTAGGTCTGATATTGTTAGCAGAAAACATAATAGGTACAAAGTTCATGATTCTGTAGTTCTTAGGGCAAACCTTTCAATGTCTGGGTCAGATAAGATTTTAGTCTCGTATCAGTAATGAATACCTTTGTTTGGGATATGACGAATCCTTGTCCATTATCATTTAGGTTAGGTTAAGTAAACACTTAGTTTGACGTAGATATATGTTTCTTTATATCTGGCCAATCAGAGAATTATTACTCAAATTACCACTGTCTTTTGTAAACAATTATGTTTTTTGAATATTGTTTTCTTGGTGATGTCAGTCCATGTATAAAATATCATGTATTTCCTGAATATGTTCAGAATATGTTCAAGATGAAGAAAAAGAAGAAAGTTGTCAATTTTTGATGAGTTATTGGGTCCAATGGTTTTTCCTGTTAATTGAAGCATATTCCCTAAATATGCTGAGAAGAAAGTAGTCAATTTTGGATGGACTATTTGGTCCAACTGTTTTCTTGTTAATTGAAATAAAATATAGATCTTCCTCCTCATTTGACTAATATGTACAACAGGGACATGATTTGTCGCTCACTCACAATTATTTATTTACTCTCTTCAAATCCCAGCCTTCATTCCAATGGGGAACCAAATAACCAAATAACCAATAACCAAAGTCGCTTACACCGTTCTCTCCTCTGTTCTATCCTCACAACAACCCTGTGAAGTAGGTGAGGCTGAGGGCATGTGACTGGCCCAAGGTCACCCAGCGAGCTTCCATGTCACAAGCGGGGATTCGAACCTGGCTCTCCCGGATCCTGACCTGACACTGTAACCACCACACCGTACTGACTCTCACAGTCTGCAGCAACAGCCGTTTGGGAGGTGTGATACAAACCATGGAGAGCTCCACGGAAACAAGATAACATTCAGACATCTTTGAAACGTCTCCTTCTGAAAACTGTGCTTGTTGAATTATTGTCTGTCTTTGAATGATATTTTGGATACATGGATTTTGTTCTGTTGCCTCTTTGAGAAAGCTGGGAAGAAACGGAATCAAAGGTCTGGGACCCAGTTCTGACACTATGTCAAGTCCTGGATGCACTCACTCTCACAAACACAACAGTCTTGTAGCAGCCAGATTTGTTTATTAAGAGGTAGAGAGGTTCCGAGCACTGAAGAATATATTCTTTTGAACTATGGTGCTGGAGAAGACTCTTGAGAGTCCCTTGGACTGCAAGGAGATCAAATCAGTCAATCCTAAAAGAAATCAACCCTGACTGTTCCCTGGAAGGCCAGAGATTGAAACTGAAGCTCAAATACTTTGGTCACCCAATGAGAAGGGAGCCCTCACGGGAGAAGACCCTGATGCTGGGAAAGATTGAAGCTAAAGAAGACGGGGACAGCAAAGGATGAGATGGTTAGACAGTGTCATAGATGCAACGAACATGAAATTGAGCCAACTTCAGAGGACGGCGGAAGACCGGAAGGCCTGGCGGGATCTGGTCCATGGGGTCACAAAGAGTCGGACTCGACTGTGCGACTGAACAACAACAACAAAAAAGAGAGGTTCCAAGCATAGACACCTCCTGTGTCGGAACTGGGGCCCAGACACCAGTTCTGCCAATATACTGAAATTCCAACTATGCCAAGCGACCAATCATCGCTCCCATTCGGT